TTTTTTTTTTTTTTTTTTTTTTTTTTTTCAAGACAGGGTTTCTCAGTGTAGCCCCGCTGTCCTGGACTCCCTTTGTAGACCAGGCTGGCCTTGAACGCACACAGATCTGCCAGCCCCTGCCTCCTGTGTATCACCTCCTGTGCACATGCATGTGCATGCTTGTTGTGCATGCTATGGCCCACATGTAGTGGTCAGAGAACATCTTGGGAGAGTTGCATGCATTCTGGGGATCAAATTCAGATCATCAAGCCTGACAAGAACCTTTACCCACTGAGCATCCCCCTGGTCCGAGCAATGGCTTTACTGACCCTGAGGTCAAGCCTTTGTTTTATATTTCAGGGCTAATTTTGGCATTGCTAGGGATCCACGCAAAAGGATTTGGAACGCATGCTTTCTTTCCAGTATGACAGTAAACAACATTCTTCTCTCTTGGTCCTCTGATTCATCACAAGTCCTCTTACCCAAGGAGAGGACTATAATGGTTTGGATCATAAATGTGCATCGAAAGTCCCACGGTACAGACACATAGCCAGTGGTACTATAGGTAGATGATGGAAAGCCAGAGAGGGAAGCGAGGCCACTGAGGGTGTGTCTTTGAGATATTAGGATCCCTATCCCTCCTACTGTCAGCTCCCTGGCCACTATGAGGTAAGCAGCTTTGCTTCCCCACAGGTTGCCTCCCCTAAGCAAGAGGACAAAGTCCAGGAGCTGAAACTGACCCCGAGTCATCTCTTCCTTGAAGTTTATTATCTTAGCTCTTTTGTCACAGTGATAGAAAGCTGACTAAAACAGGAAAGGGCTCACTAATAACATTTGGCTCAAGTCAGCTGGGTGCGGTGGCACACACATTCAATCCCTGCACTCAGAGGTCGAGGCAAGCAGATCTGAGTTCAAGGACAGTCTGGCCTATACAGTGAGTTCTAGGCCACTCAGCACTACACAGTGAAACCCTGTCTCAATAAAACAAAATTAAGCCAGGAGGTGGTGGTGTACACCTTTAACCCCAGAACTCAGGAGGCAGACACAGGCAGATCTCTTGAGTTTGAGGCCAACCTGGTCTACAGAGCCAGTTCCAAGATAGCCAAGGCTTTACAGAGAAACCCGTCTCAGGCTGGAGAGACGGCTCAGAGGTTAAGAACACTGGCGGTTCTTCCAAAAGTTCGGAGTTCAATTCCCAGCAACCACATGGTGGCTCACAACCATCTATAGTAAAACACGGTGCCCTCTTCCAACGCAGGGGCACACATGCAGGCAAAATGCTGTACAAATAATATTAAAAAAAACTTGTCTCAAAAAAGTAATCAAAAACCAAAATCAAACAAACAACAACAAAAATGTGCAGGTGGTGTGTGCCAGTTTTCCCAGCACTCGGGAGGCTGAGATAAGAGAATCATGTGTTTGACTGTGGCCAGCTTGGGCTATAGAGTTGAGACCCTTTCTGAAGCAGAACAATCAGGACTTCAGAATATAAAACATTTTAAAAGTGGTAAGTGGTAACTATAAAGGAATATTTAAGATTAAGGTTTTGAAGGAAAACAATTTTAGTGCTAACTTTTAATAAGAGAACTTTCCTTTGCGTACACATATTCTCATAAGACAACTCCAAAAAAGTCAAGGCGGCACTCTCAGATTTTGTCAATCAGTTTAATATGTTATAGGTAGTTCATATGAATGCTTAAATTACAAAATTAGCTGCCACGGTCCAAATGTATGGGACTTTAAGAAAGCTTATATTACTCAAAAGATAACTAAGCACATAAATTTTGATTCTAAATATTTTAAAGATTTGTATAACAATGTTAAGTCTAGAATCATATGGTCTTAAAGTCATTCAATTTTGTGTTATTTTTAATAACTTAAATTTGTGAACTGTTAAAAAGCATTACACTTGTATATCCCAGTGCATACATTTCTATTAACCTAGACAAAGCCATGTGAAAAACTCCATATAATTTTCAAGGCAACAGCACACACTGTTTTCACCGTAACTCACTGTTACTGCGTCAGAACACAGAGAACATCAACAAAAACCCACCACCCACTCCCAACAGAAAACCAACCCTTCCCAACCCGAACAAAAACTACCTGGTACAAGCAGTGACTTAAAAAATGCTTTCTCAGTAGGAAGCATTTATAAAATGCAGAGATCTCAACAAGCCAAATGCTTATGCAGATGGAGGGGCCTCTCCCCTCATGAGGCAGACAGCTCCGAATCGCCTAAGAAAGCTCACCTTTTAAAAGCATATTTGTACATATTGATGGTGACTTGTTTCAAAAAAGTACATACCGGCCTGTGGACTCGGTAAAAGCAAATGGAGAAGCAAAGGCACACTCACACGGCAGAGACCAGCTTCTCCATGAACACTTATCAGGCTGCAGCAACCAAGAAAACCATTGTGACCTCACAGAGACCAGTGATCTGAATGCTGCTGACCTGAGTTAGGTGAAGCAGTTCATGTTTTCATGCATTTCTTACTCAGGAAAAATAAACATACGACGACTTCAAATTGCACTCACGTTGTCATTGGCTCGTGTATCAGGCAAGGAGAAACTGCTCCTGTACTACCTACCGCTAGAATCTTCCATGAACTTGTAGTATTCCAACACCTAGATTTGCTCCTATAATAATATCGTCAGCACCACCCACACACAAAATACACACTGTACTATGTTCTAGGCCTCTGAAATTCATCATCACATACAGTGGTCTAGATTCCATTTTTTCACAAGTTTAATGTGGGACACGGGAAACAAGCAATGTTTATTGTGCAATTCCAATAGATATGCTTGGAATCTTGGTTTACAGTTAGTCTCCATAGTTATTTCAATTTCCCAGTTTAAACCAAAAGCAACAACCTATCTAGAAATTTCATGATCGTTCTTCAAACACCAAAGTAAAGCATTGATGATTCAGGTTATAATTTAAAAATATTTTAAGACGACACATATTTTGTAACCATTCCTCTTATAATCAAAATAATTTGATTATCTGCAAGGAGATAACTGAAAGAACTCTTCCAATGTATCTAGAACCGCTGCAGAACTCCAAACCAACAGGAAAGGAGAGGATGAAATAAGGATTTCTCAGTCACTAGAAATATGTGAACTTCAAGGGGAGAAATGGACTCGTGCTTTTCAGGTGGCAAGGACCGAGACCACTGGGATGGCTTTACATGGCTTTCACTTTGATTTGTTTCATTTTCATTTGCTTCTTCTCTAACTTCTTTTGTTCTCTCCTCAAAGCAGCTTCCTGTGGAAACAGGGAAGGGGGGAGAGAAAGATCCAAATTAAGATCTAAGCATATACTGAAAATAATCTAGGAACAGGAGACCTGGCTTGGTGGTTAGAGCTCATGATGCTCTTACAGAAGACCTAAGTTCTGTTCAAAGCACATGGCAGGCGATTTACAACTGCCTTTAACTCCAGCTCCAAGAGATGTGATGCTTCTGGACACTTCTACTCACCCATATTAGCATGGGGCGTGGGGATAGAGGGAAGTTTGAAATAGGGTCTTCTTTATATAGCCCTGGTTGTCCTGGAACTCACTATGTAGACTAGGCTGGCCTTGAACTGACAGAGATATGCTTGCCTCTACCTCCCTAGAATTAAAGGTGTGTTCCACTATGCCTAGCCTTTCATTCAAAATCTTAGTCTTACAACACACAGAACATTCTCGAATATACTTATAAAAATAATTGCAAGCCAGGCATGATAACACACACCAATCCCAGCATTTGGAAGTCTAAGGCAGAAGGACTGCACTTTGAGGCCAACCTTGGCTACATAGTTAGTTACAGGCCAATCTGTGCCATAAGACACTGCGTCAAAAAACAAAACAAAAACATTGCCAATTCATATGTTGGCAAATAAAAATTAACACGAAACAAGGCAAAGACAATAAAATGTTAAGGTAAGGTCTCATTACTTAGCTATTGTTAGCTAAGTAATTGGTATTATGACCAGACATGGGGACTAAGAGATAGCTTGCTGTTCCTCTGGAGGATTGAGTTTGGGTCCTAGCACCCATGTAGCACACAACCACCTGTAACTCCAGCTTCAAGGGAATCCCACACCATCTTTGGACATTTCTCATGCATAAATCCACAAGCAGACACATTATTAAAACTAAAAACACTATAGAGATGGCTCAGTGGTTAAGAGCACCTGATACACTTGCAGAAGACCTAGGTTTTGCTCCCAGCACCTATATGGTGGCTCAAAACCATCTCTAACTCCAGTTCCTGGGGATCCAATGCCCTCTTCTGGCCTCCACCACCACCAGAAGATGGTGTACACATACACATAGTTGTATGCAAAGCACATACAAATAAATCTTGCTGTTTTTGTTTTTTGAGACAGGGTTTCTATGTGTAGCCTTGGCTATCCCGGAACTTGCTCTGTAGACCAGGCTGGCCTCAAACTTAGAAGGATCTGCCTGCCTGTCTCAAATGCTGGGCACCACCAGTGCCCAGCAACACAGACAAATCTAAAAACCTCTTCATAAAAGCCAGAAATTAACCATAACTCTCTTTGTTTTGTTTTGTCTCCCATTAAGTTTACTGGATCTTTTCAAAGTCCTCAGGACAATACTATAAACTAGTTGTTAAAAAAAAAAAAAAAAGTTTCCATAAGAAGCGTACCATTTGACTCAGGCTAGGTTCTGGGTCCTTTTCCTTCAAGCCACTGTAGTCTCAAACCACAAAAATTCTGTGAAGAGAATTTTCTTCACAGAAAAATTAAAGACACTACCTATTGATTTTTTTTAAAGATTTATTAATTTTTTATTCAGTATTCGGCCTGCACATGTGCCTGTAGGCCAGAAGAGGGAGCCAGATCACACTAGAGATGGTTATGAGACACCCTGGGTTGCTGGGAATTGAACCTTTGGAAGAATAGCCAGTGTTCCTAAACTCTAAGCCATCTTTCTAGCCCCATTGGTAGTTCTTAATGCAAAATTTCCATGTTTATACACTAAAAGGTCAATTTTATTTACGAAGATGGCATTAAAAACAGCTAAATTTTTAGGCTGAACATAGTCATTAAGGGCTAGAGAGATGGCTCAGTCAGTCAATAAACTGCATGTTTTTGTAAGCATGAAGACTCTATATCCCTAAGAGCCGGTGTAAAAAGTCTGGTGTGGTAGCAGGCACCTGCAATCTCAATGCTGAGGATGACACTGGCCAGGCAGCCTAGAGAGATACTGTTCCTTCCCCCCAACCCCTAAAAGAGTGGGGCTGGGAATTATAGCTCAGTGGCAAAGCACTTACCTAGCATGTGTAAGGCCTGAGTTTAATTCCCAGCATCTCTCACACAAAAATGGACACCTTCAAACGTCACTTGGGTTTGTCCTCTGAACAAACACACGTGGGTGTATCTCTCTCCACCACCACCCCTGCCCTGTTCGTCCATCCCTCCAGGCAAAATCAAGAAAGCATGAGGAAGAGGAGCAGCATGAGGCTTCCTGAGCACCTCGCATGGCAGCATTAGGCACCGGCTGCTGGCATCTACAGCCACACAGCAGCAACTCACATTCCTTGGCAGGGACCTGCCTTACTTTGAAGAATGTTATTCAAGCCTCAAAATTATTCTCAATTAAGTTCACATCTTCTAGAACTTTGTTCTCTTTTCACTCTCACAGTTTACACTTGGACTTTGGCGTCTTATTTCACAAAGTATGACAATATACTGAATTTTTTAAGCGTAATATACATTGCCCAAGAATCTCAAGTTTGGAATAACAGTTATGTAAGAAACAGAAACCAACAACAAAAGCTGCAGAAATACTATAATTCACTAATTCTATATCAAATCCTAATTTTAAATCACAATTTATTTAAAATATAAAGTGTATATGCTGGCTTCTTTAAAAACCCGATTCTCTTTCTAATTGTTCGATCTAAAATGGAATTGTACTAGAAAAGAGGGTAATTTAGCCATTTTCCAGGTGCAAACTCAACCTAGTGTGGAATAAAGTGCTGTCAAATGACAACATAGCCAAAACATGGAAAAATGTTAAACTTTTAGCTGTGTGCATTTCTACACAGGATTATCACAGCAGACAGTATAATACAAATAGGAACCTGGATAACTAAAAACAAAACAAAACAAAACAAAACAAAACAAAACAGTACTTTTGGGGAAATCACACAAAGCCTCAAACTAGACAAAGAAGTAGAGGCAAGCCAGGGACGCTGAGCGCAGAAGGGTCTGCCCCAGAGAGGAGCACGCCAACTGGTTACCACACCAAATGCCTGAAAACACGCCTGCAAGTAACATCATGCAGCCTGAGCAGGCTGCATTAAATCCTCAGACACACGCATACATGCAACACAAACACACACACACCACATAACAAAAGCAACACAGAAAGAGGCCACAAATTTGAAAGACAGCTGAAGGGAGGTAGAGACATGGGAGGTTTGGGAGGGAGGAAAAAGGAAAAGTGACATAATCATATTATATCCTCAAAACACAAAAACCATAGAATAAAAAAGCCCCGGCCTTGGGGAGAGCCTCACCTCCAGCCTGCGCTGCTTCTCAGGGTCCTCCTCATTCATGATCCGCTCCTTCTCGGCTCTTTTCTTCTCCTCACGCCGGGACTGTGCAGCCTCCTGTCTCTGCACATGTGTCAGCTTCAAAAAGTTCTCTTCCACTCGGGCACGGTTCTTATCTGCTTTTTGTTTACCCTCCCCAGGAAATAAAGTCTTCATAAGAAACCCCTTTCCATCCCACAGGAGAAAACCCCACTTAGCCTTCTTTGGGAAAACTACTCCCTTTTGGCACTTTCAAGTCAACTAGTGAAGACTCAGTCACAGCAGTTACTGACAGCTGTTGCCCGCGGGCAGAGAGCAACAGTAAAACGTGCCAGTTTGTAAGAAAGGCTTAGGGACTTACTTCTCTGTTGAGTCGGAACTTTTTGGCTTTATCGATAGAATAAATCACCATATTCATCAGGGGTAGCAAAGCTTCCATATCCTTTGGGTACGTGTTACCTGAGCCAGGTACTGGAAAACAAAGCCATTTTCCTACTGAGTAATGGCAGCATTAACACTTCTCGGTTGGCAGTTTTTCTTCATGCTAACAGACTAGCTCCTTGGAGGAGGAACCCAGACATCAACAAGGAGGAATGAGGATGAGGTTAGTGATGCTGTAGTTTTAAAGCTATTGTTTCAGAAGGAAAAACAATTTCAAAAACATTTCAGAGGAAACCAAGAACAAGACAGACAGGACCCAGAACACTCACCATTAAATGTAAACAGTAGTGTCCTCTTAGTGTCAGGCAGCTTTAAAGGCTGACCTTCCCTGTCACAAAAGAGAAGTCTGTTAAAAAAGAATGGCAGAAAGGCGCTTCCCAGGCATACAAGTCACTCATCTGTCTCAGGTGGGCAAAGACCTGCAAAGGGCACTGCGTGTACTCTGCACCACCACGCCAATGGCAACCAGAGAGCCTGAGGAGCTTTTAGGCCATCTTGACCATTTGGTGCTATATTTCAACCCTTCCAGTAATGCTTCCAGTAGGCAAGATATATTCCCTCTCACCGAGGGGTCCCAAAAGATGCCTACGCTTAAGTATGAAGCCATATTTTAAATACTTTTGCTTTTGTTTTAATTTCTAAATTTACATTTATTTTGGCCTGCATGTATGTGTGTACGTAGTGTCCATGGAGGCCCAAAAAGATGTCAAATCTCCTCTGACTTTTAGCCTCCACGAGGGAGCTTGCAATCAAGCTGGTCCCTGGTTTTCGTCTGAGCAATACACTCTTAACCATTGAGTCATCTCTCCAATCCCCAATTTTCAGTCTTTTTTTGTGGTCATTTATTCTCTAAAAGCTGAGGCATACAGTTTAACAATTACTTAGTAGCACTTACATTGTCTCAGGTATTACAAGAATCTAAAGATGGTTTCCTGTGGAAAAGGCTATATATGTTACACGCAAATACTACATTACTTTACCTAGGAGACTCAAGTATCCTGAGAATTTGGTAGAGTGGGGATTGTCCAACCAACAATCCCTCATAGATTTGGATTGTCATTACAAATTTTGACTATCAAACAATCTACTGCCCTACCCCCAACAAAAGACTTAATAAAAGCTTTAATGCAATACTTTGTCCCTGGTGTTACCACGTTTAGCAGGTCAAGGATGATGCAACATCATCTAGAAGCGTAAGAACCTGAGAAATCTCCACACACAACTGAAATCTAGAAATTTTGTTGCTGCTACTCTTATTTTGGTATTGGGAAATGAATCTATAGTTCCCAGAATATATGTTACTAAGAGTCTCACTGTGTCCCTAGCTGGCCTAAAACTCATTATATAAGCCAGGCTGGACTGAGCGATCTCTCTGTTCCTGCCTCTGAAAGCTGAGATCAAATGCCTACACCACTATGCCTGGTCTAGGATGGCTTTTAATTGTACCCAACCCCACAGCCATGACAGTAGCCTGCAACTAACAATCAGGTCAGATCCAATTCTCTATCAGAAGTATATTTAGTTGTGCTTGCCAGACTTCCTGCAAATTCAATGAACAAATCTAAGCCCAAACCCTGAGGCAATGTACACCTGAACAACACTGGTATAAAATCAGAAACTATGGGTATTGAAGTAATGTAACACATACCCAGTTATTCAAAAAGTGAAGGGGGAAGTGGCATTAAGTATAAAATACACACATTTACAATCAGAGTCAAAGATCACAAATTTAGAAACCGCAAAGGTATACCAGCTGCAATTTCTTAGCACCAGCCTTCCCCCTGAGCCTCCTGGGTCAGTGACGCAAGCATGCAGGGTGGGGAGGCTTGCCGGTCACTTCCCATGATGCACTTAGTGAGGGGGTACTCATTACCAACTTCACCTTTTCACTTGGTAAGAAAACTGCAGAGGTGCCTTGTGCAGTTCCAACATAAAACTAATATGGAAAACGAATTTTAATACTTTGATTTCATACGTACTCTTGCATAATCTTTGGACCAGAGAACTGGTCTGAAAAATGAACAGATTCAATCTTGTCAGCATAGTGTGTAAGAAAGTGAACCATCTGAAAAGAAAGAAAGAATATTAACTAGAGTGTAGTCCATTTCCCAGTTTTCATAGATATTCACCTTTTAATCCCTACTTTCATAAAATATCAGACTAAAATAGGCTTTTCTTAAAAAAATATAAATAACAAATAAAAAAGTTATCTAGTGAAGCCCTCTCCTTCAGCTTAAGAGAAATGGTTGTCTGCAGCTTAGCAGACTCCAGCCTTAGCCTCACATGACAGGATCACAGTGCCCACCGTGTGCCCATCCTTACCCTTACAAACTCAAACTCAAGAATGACTCAGAGAGGCAGAGGCAGGCGGATCTCCCTTAGTTCAAGGCCAGCCTGGTCTACAAAGCAAGTCCAGAACAGCCAAAGCTACAAAGAGAAACTCTGTCTCAAGAAAAAAAAAAAAAAAAGAATGACTAAAAGACACTGAAGGATTAAATCTGTAATCTTTATAATCTTAAAAATAAATAACCAAAAAACTTGAAAGTTGGCTTGGAGTGGTGGCACACACCTTTAATTTTAGCATCTGGGGGACAGAGGCAGGTGGACCTCTTTGAGTTCCTGGCCAGGAACACATAATGAGTAACTGTATCTCAAAAGACAAAACAAAAATCTTGAAAGCTTGAATTGAAAGTCATTAGTTCTTTTGGAGAGGTGTGTGTGTGTGTGTGTGTGTGTGTGTGAGAAAGCTTGAATTGAAAGTCATTAGTTCTTTTGGAGAGAGGTGTGTGTGTGTGTGTATACTCTGTGCATGTGGGGAAGGCAAGAGAGAGTCATAGCCCTCAAAACTGGGGTTATGGGATACTCAACTTATAAAGCAGATGCTAGGATACAAGCTACCGACCTTTTGCTTGCACAGTGCTCTTCACTGCCAGCTATCTCCTGGACTGACAGCCCTCTGACAGGCTATCTGTCAGTGTGAAGAAGGAGCACACATGTAACTACTGTATGGCACCAGAGAAGACCTGTCCCAGCTGCAGAGAGACCGCCCTTTCAACATGAGAGATGGCCACTGCCTCATCAGGATGGCATTGCTCGCCTACTATTTCTACTACAATCAGCAGCCGTGTTCACCCAGTTGATCCCTATCAGTTAGATGACTATAAATATCACAGAAAATGTGTCATGAATGATTTATAGTCACAGATTATTTACCAATGTTTCAAAAGGGTAAAATAAAATTTAGTATTCATTTTTAATTATTTACATTTTTGAAGACAGCGTCTCTCGCTGTACCACCTTGCTTCAGCCTCTAGGGTAGCTGCCATTACAGGTGTACACGACTCCAAACAGTCTTTTATTGTATTTACCTTTGTGTCCATCATTCCCTCTGTGACTTCTCCCATTTCTGACAGAATGGCCAAAGAGTCTGGCAGTCCATACTTTGCTCCAGACTTAGGTTTATCACTACAAAATTCACTCTGAAAGAAGAGAGTGAAAACATAAAACAATTATTTTATTATACACTTTTTTCCAAAACACTAGGTTCAAAATTGAACCTATTTTGAAGTGGTACTTAACATCTGAGAGACAGAACTGTGCTGTCCTATAAAGCCGGACTTCTCTGTAATAAAGAGGCAGTTTCTACAGACATTTAAATTAGAGCAACTTGACATACCAGATCTTGCATCTCTTTCTGCAGTCGCACCAAAGCTTTGCGAGTGCCAACAGCAAACACATATGTGTCCATGTCCTCATCATTCATGGTTACTTTTATTTGCTTTAAAAACAAACAAAAAAGATAAAGCTCACTTGTTGAGTGATATGGTACGTAGATTTCTAAAAGGCTCCAAGAATCCAGCCTTCTGCTGCATCCGTTTTCCCCTTAAGTGTGGTTCATAATATAATGGCAGATGACCCCCAGTCGGTTAATTCAAATGAACAAAAAGGGGTACTGTTTTGGGTATAACACATAATCCTGCAAGTTATAAAAATAACTGGGCTGTAGCTGAAGCAGAGAATCTTTAATACAAAAGTGACCATCAAGGAAAAGGGCTGGGTTATGAGGACCTCCAGGACCTGAGTTAAGTCCTAGTTGGCAGGTAGCAAGAAAATAGGTACCTATAAACACAAAAAACTGAATTCTGACATAGGCCTGAATGAGTTTGTAAAGAGGGAAACACAAGACTGGCTCACACTGTTTCCAGCCTTGTGGACCTAAGCAGAGGAGCCAGCTAACCTACCCTGGATCACTCATGTACTGATACTGTGACATAATAAATGGTGTTAGGGTTTTCTTTTCAGTCTTTGTTTTTGAGAAAGGGTCTCAAAAACAATTTTTTTTTTTTTTAATTTTTCTGGGTATGGAAACTTATGCCTTTAATCCCAGCACTCAAGAGGCAGAGGAAGGCAGATTTCTGTGAGTTGTGGCCTGATCTACAGAGACTATTTCAAAACACCAACAGGAAAGGATTACTTCTATTCTAGGTGTATGGGTGTTTGCCTGCATGCCTGTCTGTGCACCACTGTATGCAGCACCCCAGAGCCTAGAAGAGAGTGTGGGATTCCCTGGAAGAGATGGCTAGGAGTTTGGTGTTGGTCTGGGAATCAAACCTGGGTACTCAGGAAGAGCAGGCAGCATCTCAACTGCTGAGCCATTTCTCCACCCCTGAATGGTGCTATTTGTTTATTTGTGTTTTCCAAGACAGGATTTCTCTGTGTAGCCCTGGATGTCCTGGATTCACTTTGTAGACTAGAGCGGCCTTGAACTCACAGAGATCTATCCACCTTCGCCACTCTGAGTGCTGGGATCACAGGCATGCGCCACCATCCCCGGCAAATGGGCAGTTTTGTGGTAACTTGTAATGAAGAAACACAACACTAATAGAGGTTCATACTGCATAGTCAAGTACAAAAGTCAGCAATAAATAGGACCCAACTGACAGTGTGACACAAGAATTGTATCTGGGTTTTGTTCCAGGTTCCTGGCACACAGCAAAAGCCTTCAGTTCCAAACACAATCCAAAAATGGAATAGCTAAGAAAACAATTCCGTTTGTACCAAGAAAACCAGCAGGAATACATACCACTTGATCGCTCACTGGCCTCATCATCCGGGCCAGGACATTAAGCAAGTCTTGTCTCTTAAGGAACTGAAAAAAATGAGAGGAATTAGTCATTGTCTTGCAGCTTACACTTATAGAAGGGCCTCAGAGGGGGCTCAAATACTTCATTTGCCAACTAGTAGAAATATAATACTCAGACGTTATTTTAAATCAAACAAGGAGGAATGAAGCCTTGAATTTAGATTAGCAGTCACATAAAAAAAAAAAAGGGGAAGACACATGTGGGGCCAGACGTTCCCTACTCACCCTCAGCTGGATGAGCATGCCCTCACAGCACACTCGACCGGAACACCACAGGTTATAGATGTGCTCATTCTCCTGATTCAGCTTCCCTGTGCTCGTGGCTTCTTTGTTAGTTCCATCATCCCCTAGGAGTAAAAGCACTGAAGCTGACTCACTAGACATTTGGAGCACTTTAGGATAGCAATGCTTTGCTATGGCACAGCATCTCCTTTGAAAGAGATTAAAGGATCGGCACTGTTGCTTTTACTTCAGTATTATGTTAGAGGTTTCATGCTGCAATAGATTTGATGTATAAATTTACCATCTGCTTCGTCCCACTTTAATTCATCTAGTTTTGAAGACATACTCAGTGTCATCTCTCAGCCAAACCATCTTCAGAACAAGATTTGTATATAAGGCCTGGATTTTCTGAATGGGCTTCATTAATTCCAATTACTTCTGACAGTAGAATTCAACAGCAGTTTCCACACATTTCAAATCACCAAAATCATTATTTTATACCAGCTTCAGGCAGACTACAGCCAACAACTCCCAAAGTTTCCTGTGCAAGATTACTGATTTCCACTGTTCCACCATTTTATGTTGCTATCCATTCATGTTTCTCTGTGAAGTTATGAGAGCAGAGAATGGGGTCTGCCACTGCTGCCAGTACGCAGGAGGCACCAAGACGGTGGGCATCAGGGATACAGGCCGGTTCTTTGTCATCTGCTAGGCCAAGTGTGCTGGATGCTGAGGGTTGCTGCACAGGCCAGTAGAGGTAGGACTTCTTTTTACTGTTAAAACTCTTTATTGTCTCCATAAAAAAAATTATGGACTCTGGCATGAAGAAGAGGGAGGGCAATGAGCCAAGGAATGCTTCTCCACCACCCCCAGCCCAAATTCCCTGATTAAATAACACCCTAAAAAACTATGGAACAGGGAATAGAGCATGGACTGGTAAACAGAATCTAGTAACACGGCTGTACTTTAACCCCTTGATAAGCTTTAACACCAGTCTCCTTACAAAAACCAGAAATTATATTCAATTAACAGTGTTGCAACAAAGCAATTAAGAAATGATGTGTGACTAAAAAATAAAAATAAATAAAAAAATAAAATGTGAGGCTTAATTTGGTGGTATATGCCTTTAATTTCAGCACTATGCAGGTAGACAGGAGAATGTCCATTAGTTTGAGCCTGACCTACAAAGCAAGTTCTAGGCTGGTCAGGGCTACATAACAGACCAGCAAGATGGCTCAGCTAGTGAACACACTAGCTACCAAGTCTGATGACCAGAATCCTGGGACCCACATGTGGAAAGAGAGAACTGGGTCCCATAAATTGTGTTCCCTGCTTATACTATCTGTCACAAGCAGTCCTACTCACTCCCAATAAATAAAATAATAAATTAATTTTTAAAACAATCAAAACAATGCATGTAAAATAAATACTACAATGTGTATGTACAGTAAGACGGACGGGTGCTTCTCACTAAAGAGATGAAACACTGAGCGAGTGTAAAGGGCGTCTAATCTCATAATCTGTACACAGCTGCCTACCCTGTGTGTTTCATCTGTGGAGCTAAAATCAAACAAATTATTTTATCAAACTACCTAAAATGCCAGTTTCTTGTTTCAATCAGAATTTTAACATCTTGTTTTTATACTGGCTGTATCCAAAGCTATTTATCTTTTATATTATATATTTAACTTACTTATGTATAAACCCAACAAAATGGGACCCTTGGAGAAAACAAGTGCATTGTAGTCAGCCTTCTGTGAAAGCATTTAGATATTTCTGCCGAGGGGAGGAACTGTTCTTACCAAACTGTTTCCAGGCAGGCCGCTGGTCTCACACTGGCTTAACTTACCCACTAAGGTAAAATTGCTCTCCAAAAGCTCTCTGTGAGAGTTAAACCAGGCCTGAGCGAGTCGGCTGTTTTTATTCTTCCCAATGATGTAGTTCATGATATAGGCCAGCAGACCGGTCACCATCAAAATTTCTAGGTAATAACTCTCCCAACTGTTCTGGAGGTGTGCAGGGACCTTAAGAAGGGAAAATCACATCCAGTGTTGGCTGAGATTGAACATGGAGTCTAAGTAACGGCTGAAAAACTGAGAAAGCTCATAGCTAGAAGTGGACTGTGGTGGTTTGAATAGGAATGGTCCCCACAGACACATGTTGAAATGCTTGGCTTATAGGGAGGGACACTGTTAGTATGTGTGGCTTTGTTGGAGGAAATGTGTGTGTGTGTACGTGCGTGTGCATGTGTGTGGAAGGGACGACTTTGAGGTCTACTATGTTCAAGCTACACCCAGACCCAGCGTAGCCTGCCGACTGTCGGCTCCTCCAGCGCCAGGCCACATCTGCCTGCTCATTGCCAGGTGTCCCACCAGGATGATAATAGACTAAACCTCTGAATCTGTTAACCAGCCCCAGTTAAATTGATAAGAGCTGTGTGTCTTGTCACAGCAATAAAAACTCTACGACATGAATTTTTTTATATAACCGTCGTGACTGGAGGGAGGTCTCAATGGTTAAAGCAGTGGCTGCTCTCGCAGAGGATGCAGGTGTGGTTCACAGCACCCACATGATAGCTCACACCATCTCCAGCTCCAATTCCAGGGGATCTGATGCTACCTCTGGCTTCCAAGAGCAACAGGTATGCACATGGCGCACTAACATGCATACAGAAAAAATAAAATAAAATCTAAACAACAAAAAAGTGACACTTCAGGAAATATGCCCATTTTAATCTTCTAGCTCAGCTTTTTATTTATTTCTTTTGATTTGTTTTTTATGAGACGGAATTCTATAGCCCTAGTTAGCTATCTCAAAATTTAATTTGTATATCAGTGAACCCAGCACTCAAGAGATCTGCTTGCCTATGCCTCCAGAGTACTGAGACTAAAGCTGTGGCTACCAGCTCCAGGTCAGCTTTTTAAAGACTCTTTAAGAAAACTCATAGCTATAAAAAATTAAAAACAGTTTAGGTTGGCTTAAAAACAAGAAAGAAAAAAGAAAAGAAAAGAAAAGAAAAGAAAAGAAAAGAAAAGAAAAGAAAAAGTAAATGCATAGCTGGCCATGGTGTCACACACCTTTAGTCCCAGCCAGCCCAGTGCTTGAGAGGCAGAAGCAGCCAGATCTCTGTGAGGCTGAAGCCAGCCCAGTCTATAAAGTGAGTTCCAGGACAGCCAGAACAGTTAGACAGAGAAACCCTTTCTCAAACACAAACAAAAAGAAAGAAAGAGAGAGAAGGAAAGAAGGGAAGAAAGAAAGAAAGAAAGAAAGAAAGAAAGAAAGAAAGAAAGAAAGAAAGAAAGAGAAAGAAAGAAAGAAAGAAAGAAAGAAAGGAGAAGAAAGAAGGAAAGAAGGGAAGAAAGAAAAGAAAGAAAGAAAGGAAGGAAGGAAGGAAGGAAGGAAGGAAGGAAAGAAAGAAAAAAAAGAAAGAAGAAGGAAAGGAAGGAAGGAAGGAAGAAAGAAAGAAGAAAACAAAGAAAGAAGAAAACATAAAGGCAATCTAATATATCAGGCTTGCTTCTGAGAAACTCTCCGAAGTATGCCCCTATCCACTTACACTACTTGAATTAAGTAAGAGGGCTAGACTACAACATGAGAGTTGCTTCATAACAACGGATGTTTATCAGAATTCATGCTAAGCTCATTATTAGATTACACTATTATTCTAACACCCACTGTATGTCCTGGACTACAGTTATAGTATTAATGATGTATTGCTTACTTTGGAATTTAGAATCTTATATACTTACATCAACAATTGTTATTGGATCTTTATTTTTGCTGGAAGAGGTATCTGGTTTGTCTTCATAACCCTCAAATTCTTCATCATCATATGGCTCACTTTCAGTATCTCCCTCCTACAAAAACAAAACACAATCATGTTTAGAAATGATGCCAGCAGTTGTGTCTCATTTTGTGGGTAACATTTGTAGAGGAAAAGGTAACTAATAAGCAACAAGGACAGAACACAGATGTAAAATGCTTGTAGCAAAACACCAAACTTGGAGGTTTAAGTTCTAGAAAACTAACACACATAGTAATGACATTTAATAATGCATTTCATATTTGAAATTTGATAAGAGAGCTGGGCATGGTGGTAAGTTTATTAAATCCTAGCATTTAGGAGGAAGGCAGATCTCTGTGATTTTGAGGCCATTTTGGTCTACATAGCAAATTCCAGAATAGCCAGGAATACATAGTGAGACTCTGCGTCAAAGAAAGAAAGAAAAAAAGAAAGAAAGAAATTTTTCTCATAAAATAAACCTTGTCCTTGCTTCCTCAGTACACATAGAAAAACTATGTGTAAGATGAATGTTAATTAGTCTGACTATATTAATTTAATTCTTCAATGTACATACATAGTAAAACACATGGCAAAAAGAAAAACAAAACACATAGACCTTTTCTCAAAAACAAACAAAATGAGGTACTACACAGCATAAATAACTGTGACAAACTTCAAAGATGAGACAAAACCCCAAAACACTAAAAGAATAATACTACTTATTTAAAACCCAAAATTCTAAATTGCCACTCAAACATTATCTATTCTCAGTTTAGATCTTATCTATTCTAGTAACTACAGAAAACACAATGATTTATCAAGGTAAACATAGGAACACACCACAAAGTATTTGTAAGAGTTTAGCTATGTTATGGTGGCACATACCTTTAATCCCAGAAACAGAGAGGCATAGGCAGGCAGACTCTGGCCTGGTTTACAAAGCCAGGTCCAGGACACCCAGAGCTACAGAGCTTTGTCTTACAGAGAAAGTTTCAGAGAGAGAGAGAGAGAGAGAGAAATGAAAGTGCTCCAGCTATTGAACAAAAATGAAAATTCCAGAGAGCAAAAGTCTCCCTATATTTGGGTTTTTGTTTGAGAAAATCAGTAATAAATCTTCCATTCTCCTGAATTTCCCAATAAATTGACAATAAGCAGCCTTGGTAGAACTAAAGAGGCGGCTCATAAATTAGAGCACTTGCTGCTCTAGCAAAGGGCCTGTATTTGGTTCACAGAAGCACAGGGCTGCTCAGTTCCAAAGGACCCAGCACTCTCTTCTGGCCTTCAAGGGTACCAGGTGTGCACAAAATACATTCATACACATAAAAATAAGTCTTAAAACAATAACCCTACCTGAGTATCTGCATCTTCAAAATCTCCTTCTTGGTTTTCATCCTGCCCTTCCAACTCTACTGTGGTTTCATCTTCGTCATCTTCCGTGGTTATCACCCGCTGAGGAGATTCTGTAACAGCATCTTCCATGACATCCTCAAACTCGGCGAAATCATTATCATCATACTCTACCAAGTCTTCCTCATCCTCGAAATCATCAAACTTGGCTTCAGAGACACTCCCAAACACCAAAACAACAGCACAGAAAGCATAGAAGGCTCTCATTGCACCTTAAAAGTAAACTGTGAGAAAGTGTATGCTGAGTGAGCTACCATTCCACACACACAATTAACATACTTTGTAAAATTGTCAGTAATCTACAAGCCAGCTAGGGGTAGTGGTACAGACTTGTAATCCAAGTACTTGGGAGATGGAAAAAAAGATCAGAAGTCCAAGGCCAGCCTTGGCTATATACTGAGCTCAAGGCCAGACCAACCTATAGGCTGACCCTTAATTAAAAGCAAAACAATCTCACAAATGTCTCCTGCTTTTCGCTTACTCAATATTCTTGGATTCAGACAGCACTATGTAAAAGACAAAAACAAAACATAACAAAACAAAAAAACCAATGAGGTGAGGCCAAGAGGTATGGGGTTTATCCTGATCATTTTCAGCAGTTATCTGCAAAAATGAGGGTAAGTGCCAGGTGGTGGTGGCACAGGCCTTTAATCCCAGTACTTGGGAGGTAGAGGCAGGTGGATCTCTGAGTTCCAGGCTCTCTTGGTCTACAGAGTGGGTTCCAGGAAAGCCAAGGCTACACAGAAAAACTTGTCTTGAAAAACAAAAACAAAGAGAAGTTATTAATTTCTTTAGGTTCATCTCTCTAAAATCTTTTTCTTTACGTATTTCATAAGCTTTTTTTTTTCCATTAAAAAAGGTTCTTTTGAGAGAATCTTTCTAGGGGCTAGAGAGATGGCTCAGCAGAAGAGCACTGGCTGTTCCTCCAGAGGACCGGGGTTCAATTCCCAGCACCCACATGGCAAGTCACACTGTCTGTAACTCCAGCTCCAGGGAATCTGACACCCTCACAGACATGCATGCAGGCAAAACATCAATATGCATAAAATAAACAAGTGAATTATTTTAAAAACTTTCTAAAAGAACTAAGGAGTGTAGAGAAGTAATAATATCCAACTATTTATATGTAAATGATTACAAAATAATCCATAAATAAAAACACATGCAGCTTGACAGCACGTGGCTTGTAGCCATTCTTGTGACACGTAATAAGGTTGGCTTCATCCTCAGCACCAAAAAAACAAAGCCTTTTACTACCCATCAACTGTGCATGTGTGTATGCCCTCCAGACATGCTCTCCTGGACAAACATCACTATAATCATCACAAGTGTGTACAGAAAGAAGATGCAGATGTTAATCAATGCAACCACAAAATGACAAAATGGGCTAATAGCAATCATTTCTCATGAAATCTCAGAAGACAATGCAAAAAGAAATTCAACCAATAAAATCATTTATACTTTATTTTCAATTCTGCGCCTTCACTTAAACACCAGCCCTATATCTTTAGTTACAAAAAACAAAACAAAACAAAACAAAAAAAACCACGATTTTTTTTTAAGCATAGAACAGCCTAAAGGATAGATACGTGTGAGAGTATTATTAGTGACAGGGTACTGAGGATGTGTGAAAGGACTACTACTAATGATTAAACTAGGGTGTAACATCCAAACAGTATTTTCTCATTTATTAAAAATGTTCACAAAAGGGCTGGGCTGCTGAGACTGCTCAGTGGGTAAAGGCACTTGCCAACAAGCCTAAGGACCCGAGTCTTACCCTTGGGCTCCATAAAGTGGAAGGACAGAGCCAAGTTTTATAAGTTGTCTTCCGACCTCTACATGCACACAGTGGTATACCTCCCCCCTTTTCTGACCCAAATAAATACATTTTTAGAAGGTTACAAGGAAGGCTAGGGTATGTAACTCAATTTGGTAGAGTGCCTGGGTTAATACTAGCACCATATAAAATTGGGTGTGTGATGTAATCCTAACACTTGGGAGAATGAGGCAGAGGGACCAGACCAAAGTTCAAGGCCATCCTCCTCTACATAGTGAGTTCCAAGTCTGTTCAGGCTTCATGAGATCCTATCTCAAAAACTCCAAGGGGCTGGTGGGGTGGGGTCCATGCCCAGCACTCAGGAGTCAAAGGCAAGCAGCAGTGGGAATTCAAGGGCAGCCAGGACGACCTAGTGAGACCCTATACTTAAAAGGGGGTGAGAGGCAGGAGCAGGGTGCAGTGGCTGGATTCTGTAATCCCAGCACCAAGGAGCCTGAGTTCCACTGGCCTGCCAAGCTCTGTCCTACACAGTGAGTTTTAAACCAGCTGCAAGATTGAGCCACTATCTTAAAAAAAAAAAAAAAAAAAAAAAGTTTCTGCCTTAGTGTTTCCCCTTTCAAGTAGAAGTCACCTTGACTCCCAAAAGGTCTGGTCATTACAAACTGAATCTATGCTCAGAACATTCACAACACAGAAGTATTTCTAATGTAATTCATATAACCAGGCTCCCTCAAGGTTGTTTAGGTTAAAATTATCCAAGCCATTTGTGCATTGGCTTTCCTTTTAATAAGGCTCTGCTGCACCTGTCAACCCATTTCTCAAACTCACAACTCTCTGCCAGGTCACCCAGTCTCTAGAACTTCTGAAGCTAGAATTTCTTTAGACTAGAAACCAGGCCAGACAAAAGCATTAACGCCTGTCTTGATTATCGTTGGCAGTTTCCTTCAATAGTTTCTCGGCCACTGACTCCAGACTTAAAAACGAGTAAATGTGGCAATCACCGCTTGTCCTTTCAGCTCTTTATGGCGTTAGTCAAAACGATCAAATTTCTAGAAACGACGTAGACATTCCTGTCTCCTTACAAAGTGTTTCGCTACAAACACTTAGTTGTACGTTAGAAACCTTCTGCTAAGCGCTCTCTCGAAGCGGTTGCTTCTGTGAAACCTCTTGTGTCCAGTCTTAACTCCACCATGGAGAAACCTGGTATCTATGCTGCATTCTTTCGGCTATACACCAAAATTTTTCGCAGATTTTTGTGCTGCCGGTTGGAATTTGCTCAAAGCCACTAATACTACTCCAAACCCTCCTAAAGTCCAACAGAAAATGGCCAGGAAAGGCTAGACAGAGGTTTAACCTTTTTCTTTTCTTTTCTTTTCTTTTTTAATCCGGGAGAGGTAAGTTGCGGTATTGATGCATGTCCCCACGGGCCAGACTTAAAGGGTTGGTCTGGGGAGAAACAGCACCTGGCTCTGCGGCCAAGAAACTTAGTCACCGCTCGGCCTGGCCTGGCCACACCGACTTGGCATGTCACGGTCCGCTACCTACCTGCACCCGAGGTTGCGACCCGGCCGGGACTCCTGAAGGCCGCCACCTCCACCCAGCCTGCCTTTGTCTGGTTTCCGCCTTCAGGTCGCAAAGATATTTGCGGGCCGCGACGTCACTGAACAGCCCAGAACAGGTAGCTCGGTCACGGCCCCCCACTCTTCACGTAGCTGCAGCCGTCCGTTACGTAGAATGAGTACGGCTGGTCTGCGCCTGCGCGCAGCGTGGGGGCGGGGCGCGGCCTGCAGGACGCCCGCGCAAGGCTGCTGGGAAAATTACGTAACCCCGGCCGCCCCTGGGCTTCGTAGTGCCCTGGCGGAGGCTGGCTTTCTCCGGATGGGGACCGTCCGGTTGACGTCACTTTGATCTGGTGCTCCGGAAGCTAAAGGCGGCCATGCTCTGTGGGACCGTGTGTTCAGAGGCACGAAGGGAAATAGTGCCCAAGTGTTTTTTTGCAAGGGACGAGAGCTGAGAGAGGGCCGATATGTGAATGAGGTTGCCGGTCGACCCCGTATTTGTCATCTTGGGTTTTCTGAGCGGCTCCCTGCCGCCTCCGCTGGGTTCACCCCGGATCTAGTCTCTACGCGAGCCACACTCACTGCCCGTCCAGAACCAGGCCCCTGTCCAGAGTGTGTGACGCGCTCACGATGTGTTCCGGAGTCGGGAGGGCGGGCGTAATTGGCGCCGTTCGGGACCCGTAGCCCCAGCCACACCCTTCGGCTCGCGCCCTCCGGAGCGCGCATGTCAGATGCGCCTTCCTCCTCCCCTCCCACCCCCAGTCAGCAACGGGCCGTGAGGCAGCGGCGGCGGCGGCGAAGGGGGCGGAGGAGGAGCTCGGCTGGACGCGGCCCCGCAAGCCGCGCGTTCTCCGGGCCGTGGGGCTTCCTTCGCGCCGGCGGCAGGAGCAGCTGCGTGTGCAGCCGCAGCAGCAGGTTTGTGTAGACGGCTTTCCAGACGCGGGGCCGCTGGTCCCGGGGGCACGGGAGGTAACTGGGGCCTGGCGAGGGCGGAGGAACCTCGGCCTCGCTTAACAAAGAATCGGCGGAGCCGCGGGACCTGGGCGGCTGCGGGCATCCGGGGAGGGACGGGTGCGCGGCCTGGGGCCCCTAGGGCGGCCCTCCGGAGCTGCGTTGCCTTCCCACGGTCCGCTCCTCGCGCGTCTGAACGAGGCCCTCTTGGCGGCTTTCCGGAGGCGGTGCCTGATGGGCTACGGGAAGGGATTTTCAGGGTGCTGGGCTCCGAGGCTGTGAGAGCCGGGGGAAGTGTGTTGGTCCTGGTAGGCGGCTGTTGGCGATTGCAGCCTCGCAAACAGGCTTCTACGGCAGCGGAAGTTGACGGATTCGAAGGCTGTGAAAAGTCACCGATCTGTGTGAAACCTTGAGTAGATCATGATTAGCATCACCATAGTTACAAACTTTTTGCGGCCTACTTGAGCCTACCCGCTGTGAGTAAATAATTATATGGATTTGCAAGCACGTACCAGAAACATAAGGAAAAATTACACTAGTCAAGAGTGTGGAGGCATGTTTAAGATTTTATGTCAGCTTTTCCCCCTTTGCCCCTACTCCTTTAGGCTGTCGTTTCCTGTGGCTTCCCGGCGTATTGTTTTTTTTTTTTAATTAATTTATTTATTTATTTATGCAAATAGTATTTCTGTATTGTCTACTATACACAGGTCCTGAACGGCAGGGTCTATGTCTTTTTGTTTGTTTTTTTTTTTTTTTTTTTTTTTTGTTTTGTTTTTTGTTTTTCGAGACAGGGTTTCTCTGTGTAGCTCTGGCTGTCCTGGAGCTCGCTTTGTATATCAGGCTGGCCTCGAACTCGCTGGAGATCTGCCTGCCTCCGCCTCCCGAGTGCTGGGATTAAAGGCATGCTCCAACACCACCCAGCAGGGACTATGTCTTAATTTGCTTAAACTTTGTAGAGCCCACTCCTGTTCTGTCAGGTAGAAAGTGAGCAGTAAGTTTTATACAAACATTTATTGTTCCAGAGGTGAAAACGTTGTTTTCCTTTACCTAGAAGAATTACATGGCCTAATGTGAGTCATTTAAAAAAAATTTTTTTTTAGTTGTCACATCTGCGCAACATCTCTCTTGCATTGCTTAAGTATTAAGTCTATGACCCCTGCCCTCATGAAAGTCTTTAAATACACTTTTTACATGTATTTATTTATGTGTGTACACCACACCTTCCTGTATAGAGAGGTCAGAGGCCAACCTATGGGAGTCAGTCGATTTTTCTCCTTCCACCATGTTGAACCTCAGGATGGAACTCAGGTCAGGCTTGGTGTCGTGACCCTTTACCCACCGAACCATTTCACCAGACCCCTCATGAAACCTTCTGATAAAGACTAAGAGACACATGTGTGCTTTGTGGTATGCAGAAGAGTAATCTGTGCCTGCAAGAGAGGAGTGGGAGAAGCTGCACTTTGCAATAGAGTGATCTGGGAGCTCCTTCGGGCTAGAAGATGGTAGGGGAGTCTACCCAGGGAAGTTTCTGGAGAAGCGGACAGCAATCGTCAAGACCTTGAAAACAACAGAGCTGAGCTTGTTGGAGGAGCAGTGTGTTTATAGCATTTAGCAAATAAGGGAATTACAGGTGATAAGACCAGGAAAGAAGAGGGCAAACCAGAACAACCAGGGTCATGTAGACTGTTTTGAAGATTCCGTCTTCACTCTCTGGAATGGGGTTATCTGAGCAGAGGGGAGATAAATGTGGCTTACATTGTAATACATTCACTGTGATCTAGACTGATAACATGGTGTGCTTTATGGAGGGATAGCTTCAGATTTGTGTCCTACCAATTTCAAAGGTACAAATTGTCCTTGGCGTCATTAAAACTGATAGGAAAGGAGTGCTTCAAAGACAACTCTCACCCAGCACTCACTTTTTAAGGTTTGGAATGTGATGAAATTCTTGGCTGTCTTTAGCAGCTTTTCATTACATTAAAGAAAGTGACAAAATTAGAATTTGAACATAGCTATTTACTGTTCTGTTACAATTTCCTATTAAATCATTAAAGAAGTAACTGGCTCTGTTGTGTTTAAGATGTCTTTATTATTAAGCAGGTTATTAAGTAGAGTAGGTACTAACCAGCTGTCACTGTAGCTCTCTTCTGAAACCTACCCACTTGTAATCATGTGGGTAAGTGATTAGCATGTCTTGAGTGCTGTGTGACACTTGAATGTGAATCGGAGTTAAGCGATTTTATATTACCAATTTACCAATGAGGAGATTGATTTCTGGAGAAATGTTTGCAGATGTGTGTTGAGCACTATATTACCATGCCTCGGTAAATCTATTACTTTGATTTTTTATTTATTGAATTTGGGACAGTCTCACTCTTTAGGCCATGTTGGTCTAGAACTCACTGTGTAGCCTAAGTTCGGCTTTAACTCACAGGATCCTCTTTGTGAGCCTTTTGAGTGCTGAGTTTATAGGCATGGGTCGCCACACTTTTTTCCCCATTAACTCATATTTTTACTCCAAGTCTTAAGGTATGTGCTATTCTCAACTATTTTGCAAATGGAAAATCTAGAGTTCAGAGAGCTAAATAACATCTTTTGAGATTCATGTTATTAGTGGCAGTCCTGGTGTTTGGATATAGCCAGCTAGAGTTAAATCCTGTTAAGATTTCTTACTAAAACATTACATTTTGGTACCCAGACAATAGTACAAAGTGAATAAATTGTAATAATAATAAAAATTCAAAAACAAAAACTAAATTATACTTAAAAAAAGATAACACAGTGTCAGTTGTTTTAAAAAACAAAAAGTTTGACAGAAATACCACTTTCTAGAGAAATCATCTTCATGTTGATGGGCTAGAATTCATATTCAAATAAGCTGTGCAGGTAAAAAGTGCCTTGGTGGGTCAGTAACTGAGTTAGTGTGAGGGAATCCAGGTAGAAGCAAGAACTCTACTGGGCTGCTTGGTTTTCTTTGGGAAGTGCATGTGTGGAAACCCTGGGCAGTGTGAGTGGTTAAAGTCATATACTGCCACAGCGTGGCAGATTCCAGTCTGAGTAACTTTGGAGGCCACTGAATTGAAGTGAGTGACAGAAGCATAAAGTGGTACTTGGAAGAAGATGGTTTCGCTGAGTGTCTGTGCTTTGATGTGACTTTCCTTGGTTTCATATATTAACAGACACAATGCTGTTCTGCCAAGCAAAGAAAAATTTCATTTTGTCTCATTCTTCATTTCATATTTTTCTACATAAAAGTCACTATTTATTATGGAATGTTTGCTAGTTGTAGATGCAGCTTCTATTATGTGTATCCCATGACTTTTCTAGTACAGCAGACATTCCTGAAACAGTGTTATGGGAACTATTGCCTTATTAATTGTCATTTACCTCAGTGAGTCCTTTTACTTGTCTGCTTGTCTTAACCCTGCTTGCTTTCATTTCATAGTATTTTTACTGTCTGAAATTGAACGATACGAGCAACTCTCCCTCCCTTCCTCCCCACTGCATTGAAGCGACATTGAATTCCCTGAGAGCCTTTTTTTTAAAGATTTATTTATTATTTATACAACATTCTGCCTGCACACCAGATCTTACTATTGATGGTTACAAGCCACCTTGTGGTTGCTGGGATTTGAACTCAGGACTTTGGAAGAGCAGCGAGTGCTCTTAACCTGAGCCATCTCTCCAGTTCCCCCCTTCCCCCAGGGCTTTCTGAGTCCATGTTTGTATCTTCTGAGCCAAAGACAGCAACAACAAAAAACTGCCTGACACAAAATAAGCAGTCCATATGTTTTGCTGTAACATCCAGTAGTGCTGTGGGCTTGATAGCTGTCAGTTGTGGAGTGTCGTAGTGGAGGTGAAGGCGGACAGACAAGCCTTCATGACATCTGCATAGGTGCTTTACTGTGTGCTTCCTAGTGTTGGGGGAAGCACACGGCAGCAGTCGGTGCTCAGAAGTAAACAGTGGCTAGTACTGCCAAGGTCCAGCTCCAATTGATAATGCTATATGGGTTAGTTTTTACTTTTTTCAAATGAGGTGTTGTAGTTTGTAAATGTTTCTGGGTTTTTGTTTTGTTTTGTTTTTTTTCCCAGTGCTTGAGAGGAATCTCAGGCCTCACCTATGCCAGGCAAGTACCACACCAATGAACTGTGCATTTCATCCTGTGCCTGGGATTTTCTTTTAAAACCCAAATAATATTCTGTTGTATGTATATATGTAACATTTTGTTTAACCATTCATCTGTCATTGAACGCCTGGGTGGCAGCTGCCTTTTGCCTATTGCTGTTAATGTTGCTATGAACTTAAGTGAACTTTGCTTTTGTTTGGGGGGTATATATCTAGAAGTGGAATTTCTGGGTTATATGCCAATTCCATCTTTTAATTAACAAAAAAAAAAAAAATCCCGAAACATTTATTGACAGAATTTAAGTAGGATAAATTTTATGTATTCCCCCTCTCTATTCTGTCTTGGATTTCAGTTTGTTTTAGTGGTGGCTAAGTGCATATATTTAATATGGAGCTTTACAGCTTAGGTTTTGAATGGCAGCTCTTAACTGTATAATAGTTATATATTTGGGCCTGGTTAATTTTGGTGTAGTGTTTATTTCCAAGGGTTTTTTTTTTTTAATAATAAAGTAAATATAATATGTGTGTGTGTGTGTGTGTGTGTGTGTGTGTGTGTGTGTGTTTTCAGAACACAACTTGGAAGAGTTGGTTCTGTTTCCACTTTGTAGATCCCAGGGATTTATTAACTCATGTCCTCAAGCTAGGCAAGTACTCTTACCCACCGAGTTGGGTTGACGCTGCTTGCTCTTTTTGAAGAAAAACAGATTGCCACAGCTACTGAACCATTCCCCATTCTACCAGTAATGTGCAGAGGTTCCAGTTTCTCTACATCTCTGCCAAAACGTTCTTTACCAGATTTATACTTTCAATCCCTAGACTTAATTTAAATGATTCTACT